AAATTTTTTAAGATTTAAGATTTTAACTGTATAGGTATGATTTATATAAATCTTTTCCTATGTATGTGTGTGTTGTGAGTTAAGATGTACATAGTATCTACATACGCTTATTTTTACGTTATTTACTTAAATCATTCAGATATATAGAAAATATACAAAGTGACATAAAAGGGGAAGTTATTCTAATAGAAAATTTGACGGCGAATTTATAATTTTTCTTCTTTTTTTAATGACATCTTTAAGTTTAAATCTGCAATCTACTCAAATAGGATCCGTGCAATTTAGACAACTATTAGACCGCACTATAGAGATAAAGGATCCCTTCCCTCAAACCAGCTCAACAAAGTTATAGTCTATCCAAACACTCCCATCCGTCGTATCTTCAATCGCCTCGATAAAGAGAAAGGCTGCAGAGATCACTGACTTTCCGTCGCGGCAATGAATCGCGACTACCACACCCTCGGCATCATCTGTACAGGAAAATATCTCATCCCCCTGATTCATTGTGCCATCGCTATACAATCCTGTTCGGTTCCTCTTTTTCTTTCTCACTACCCTCGTATTGTCGCTCGCTTTCGCACTCTTCATCGTCCTCAAAGCCACCCTCTACCTCTCGTTTCTCTCGTAATACACGCTATGATATGAGAGAGATAGAGCTCGCCTAACAGGGGCGCCACGGTCTTTAACTCGCAAATGCCCCACGTTCACTTTGCCATATTAGATTCTAATAGGGGAACACGCGCGATAGCTGAGGGGGTCATTCATGTTAAGAGCTCTTCGTCTCATCTCATCGCGTCGCGTCGCGTCGCGTTGCACTTGACTTGTCTTAACTGAGTGTTTACGCGATGGCCTCTGATTAAATCATGCAACATCATTGCCAATTTTAGCAACGAAAAATTATTATTTATTCGATTACGCATAATTATCGTTAAATGCGTAACAAAATTAAAAAATGTTTAAAAAAATAATTAATGATTTATCTGTATGTAGATAAATATATCAAGAATTTGATATAGAATTGCAAAGAATTCAATAATAATGATATTAATTTTTTTAAATAAATATTCATAATTTAACTTAATTTTCTTTTTCAGTAGATAATATGACATATAAAATTTAAAGGAATTAAATACTTCTTCGAGAAAAAAATCACATGTTAAAAATTAACAGTTTTTTTAGTAGAAATTTCTACATTTTTTAAAACAATTTCTCTATATTTTATAGCAACAACTTTTATTTATAGTAACTAAGAAATAAAAGATGTAACGTTTTTACTCGCAGTTGTTACGCACAAAAGATGTGTAAAATCTGAATTTATTTATTGATTAAAAACAGGATACTAAATGAATACTTCATAATAAGTTTAACTAATAATTGTCTATTAATACTAGATGATATCTGAGCAAATATCTACGTAAATTGCACATTATATTTTTATCAGTAAAATTGATTTAGCCATTGAAAAATCCTATTAAATTCTTGTTAATTTTCCTTGCAGTATTATTAATGAGAACACAGTAATACTAGATACACAGAAAAAAGATTATTTTCAAATTAACCATTATATATATAGATAAAAGCAAAACTGTTGTACTTGTTACAAAAATTTTAATCTTGATTTGATTGATATGCTATATGAGCATATTATGACTGATTTGAGAATCGTTTCTTTTTCTGTGTAGTAATTGAATAAGCGTCTAAAAAAACTATATACATTTTTACCAAGGTTATTAATATTTATTAATTAAACAATATAATTTAACGTTTTAAATCGATCAATAATAATTTTGCCATAAAATAATAAAAATTCATAGATCTTTAGTGATTTCAATGTTACGTGTATTCATATATATAAGATACTATACATACGGAACACCTGTATCATTTATTAGCTCAGATTACGCATATACATCACCGGCAAATATTTCATCGCAAGAATTTATGTGAACGCCGACCGCGCGCATTACGGAGAGACGCTCCTTCCCGTGTCGTTCTGCAAGAAGGATATGGGAGTCACATTCGAGCAACGACGTTCGGTTGATCGAATATATTAACGTGCGGGCAATTTGTACAGCCTGACGGATATAACCCCGAGAACCATCGGTGGCAAAATGTATTCCGGGGATTACATCTCCCGAAATCCACCGTCGTGCTATTAGGTGAACGAAAAAAAGAAAGAACCGTGGCTCTCGCCGTCATACGGACGCGGGTGTCGGTAAGGTATACGTTTCGATAATGAAAAAGTTATAAATCTGGAATTGTGAAATGGCGGGCCGGTATAAATCTTCATCGGGCAACGCTGCCAAATCCCTTCGTACCGCGTAAATCCCTTTCCAATATTGAAAAAAGTGATAGGTCCAGTATGTAATGATCCGGTATTACCCGAAACCGCGAGGGAGCGGTATCGATCTATCGTTGGCATTCCGTTCACATCGACCGCATCGTTCTCTACATCCTCTCGTGTATCCCAATTATAAGATACCACCCTCGAATAAAACAACCGTGTACAGTCGCAATATCGCGCTGCGTAATTATGTTATTTTCTTAAATTTAGATAAGCGATAGATTTATCGAAATTTTCCATATAAGCTTTTTCTCTTTTTTTAAAAGAGATTTGCAATTTTTTTTCTTCTTCTATCAGCACAGATAATCTTATATTTTCTGAGAAAGTTGAAACATTAGGCCATGATTTTTTGCGTAGGGGTGAAAGCACTAGATGTCTAAAGCAACAGCTGTAATCCAGTCGAAATCACCATTTTTTCCCCCCTATTACATATATGTTACTGGAAAATTTCACGAGCGCCTTACTTATCCTTGAGAAACTTTAAAGGAATCGCACGATTCCGCGAGGTAACGCGGAATTCATCGGGGGTGTTGATGTAAACAAGCTCTTCCCTGCTCTCGATCTTTTTTCCCAGTCAGTCGGTCGCGCGAAAGAGTACGCGAGTATATATTGTCGTAATATTTCGAAAAACGCGCCAGCACACCGAGATCCGAGGGCAATCTCGCCCTCGAAGATGGCATACGCGGAGGTGAATCGCCTCTTCCCGAGGAAATCCGAGGTAATTGAATGCTAACCCTCCTCACCCCCGCAGCGCATCCCCTCGCCCGCACTCACTCCGCGCAACTCCTCGTCCACCCTCCATGTCGCGTCCCTCGTTCATCCCTCTAACCACCCTAACCCGCGGGCTTCAGGGGGCGCCACGCTCGCACTCTCGCTCCCCCTTCGCCATCACTCACCGACACAGACTTGTAGCTTTCAATAAAAATGTAAATATGGCGGCGTAGAACGAGCCAATGACAGCGCTACATCGACGCCCGAGTCCGCGAGGGATAGATAGATAGAGTGAAAGAGAGAAAGAGAGAGATAGAGAAGGAGAGAAAGGGAAAACCCTGCCCTGCAGCAGGGGTTGAGGGTTTCCAAATGGGAAGCTGTCTCTCTTCCTCTCTTTTTCTCTTTCTCTCTCAGAGGGTCGAAGATGGCGAGAGAAGAGGAAGAGGAGGAGGAGGAGGAAACGGGAGATGAAGGGAGAGGAAGGCTTCGACTCGAAGCGGAGGGAGGAGGGGAAGCAGAGAGATGCCCGGGAAGGAAGAAGAGGAGTGCAAAAGCTCACACGGAAGACGAAAGGAGAGCGATAACTCTCTCTCTCCCTCCATCCTTTCGCTCACCGTCACTGTGGCCTCACCCGAGTTTCACCCGTGTCTCACCCGGTGTTCCCCGTTCTCCTTCCTCCTTTTGGTGACGGTGAGAGGGTAGTGAAAGGGGGACGTACCGCCAACGTCCGCGAGAGAGCGACGCCGAGAATGACGCAGGTGCCGCAAAGCTTGACACGTCTCCGGCTGTTTTGTCACCTTCTTTTATCCTTCGAACTTTTTTACCGCTACCTCGTTAGATGCCCTCCCTTCCTGCCTCTTCCGTTCGTTCCCTCCCCTCATTCTCGTTTCATGTGCCCTTCCCGCCCCGCGGGCGGGGCGCGTTGATGGAGTAAGCCGGGCAACGAGCAGGACGTTTTTTAAAATCGCGCTTCCGCGCGAGCGAGCCGCTTTTTGCGAGAGCCATCGTGGAAGGGCCCCCCTCGGGGCGTCGACGGGCGATCGTGGCGGATTTCTTTTTTCGAGGGAGATTTTTCGGTCGCGGATTACTCGCAGCGCGCGGATTTGCGTTTCCCGCACTGGGGCGATGCTTTGATCGATCTCTCGGTGTCAGCAACGAACTCGAAGACAAATGTTTCCTCGCCTTCTTTTTTCACGAAGGGATACTTGCGATATGGTTTTGACGAATGTTGGAATATATATTCGCAATGTGAGTCCACGCAAAATCTCTTTATTATGTTAACCTATCACCTCTTGCAAAATATTCTCATCAAATATTGATTCCCTTTTCCACTAAACATCTAAAAGGAGATATATTTAACAATACACAGCTGAAACTACATTCAAGTTTTAAAACGTCAGTTGTTTGATGTACAGAATAAATACAATGAATCTCTGTCACGGTGATTGATACAGAAAGATTCAAAGATTTTTTATCTACAATTTAAAACCTTGTAGTACCAATTATACAAATTACAGTTCGCGCAATTAATGCCTTCCAACCCTATGACATTCAGTGGTGAGATGACATCGCGTTTATCTTCTCGGTCGTTTTCACGTTCATGGCCGTAGTCGGACAGATCAGACCTATAGAGATTGGAGAAACTCGCGTATTTTCGGCAATTCCATCTGACTACAGCCATGAATGTCAAAATAACTGAGAAGGTAACATGCAATATCAAAACAGGAGTGGAGTTAACTGCGCGAAGTGTACAATCCTTCAGAAGTTTTCGCTTTTTTTCCAAATAACCGTTGCTGTCGAGGATTAATTTTGGAAATACATTTTTTTTTTAAAAGATTCCGCGATATCTTTAACAGTGAAAGAATTATGCAGATATTGCAGATCGATTTGTCAGAAGTCGTTTCAGTACATGGAATATATAGTGAGCGCAATAGCAAGATGTTACCTTGACTTGGGATTCTGACATCCCGAGCGCGTACGCTAATTTGGCGCGCTCCGGTCCGGCTAGGTACTTGGTCTGCTCGAAGGTCTTCTCCAGAGCGAAGATCTGCTGTCCACTAAACGTGGGCCTTGTGTGCTTCTTCTTGCCACCCTCGTGTTCCCCGGCACCACCGCCCGTGCCCGTCATAGCTTGCTGACAGCCCAGCTGTTGCGTCACTGCAACATTCGCGTCATCCGATGAGTGGTTACTGGATATCTGTTTCGCTTCAAATGGAATAATTAGCCTTAGCCAATAGAACCGGGCGGCGTTTTGTTTAATTTAATTTAAAACGTAATGTTTGGAGCGAGAGAGTTAAGGTTAAGAGATTATAATTTGTTTGTTTGGTTATTTAAAATGTACAGTTGTACTTCACACATTGAGAAAATTCCATTTTTTTTAAGCTTTTAAAAATCACAATCTTCCGCCAAATTATTTTCTATAAACTGTACTTTTTTTATTTACGCTGATATATTAGCTATTTGGAGGTGGGAGGAATATTGTATGTACCCAGCCTGCTTGCAGAGAGGTTGAACATAAATGATTAGATCCATAAATAAGAACCAATCGCTCGGTAAGGGTAAGCTGTATTCCGAAACCCATCAAAAAAAGTGTTGCTTTTTGTGACTGACTGTACTGTATGTACTGTTAGTTACTGTACTACATATTACTGCATGTTACTTTCACCCTAGTTAAACTAGCTAGATGGATGTTGAAATTCGACCAAAAAAGTTATACGATAATATCGATACATATCTACGATGCTAACTATAAATTTTCATTGCTTTCTCGAGCGATTGTGTGTATTCGATTGTACGTACATATGGGTATTCTTCTATTAGGGCCCCTCATGATCTCTTTTCCGACTCACAGAATTAAAGGGGAAATTGCAAGTCCCATCTGTGACTTTCAATCGTGACAAGTCATAGGGAAATATTGCCATATTCGTTTCACTAACAGCAATAATCTGGATTACATAGATAAGCGAAGATAAGTACATACATATGCATCTGTATATATAGCATACGCATGAAGCAAGTACATATAATATGCTATACTTCCTTAATAAATTTGATTTCGTTGTATTGCTATTATGCTAATTATACAGCGCAATGAAATTTATTAGGGAGATGCAACGCTATTATATGCACTTGCCCCATATACACACTTACCCCCATTTGTTTTACGTAGGAAAAATATGTCTGCGATATATCTCGGAGCATAATTAGCTTCCGTGTTATAACCGTAAGAAGTATTTCATTTTAACCGCAGTTCGAAATTAATTCGCCATATTCCGGAAATTAATTACGACCCTTATAACGTTGGTAATTATTGCCGCAACCATTTAATACTTCTCTCTTTCATTGTGTGGACTCGCGCGACTATAGTACTGATTTTTCTATCTAAAATATCTTCTATCTACTTCTTTTATTATTTATGTTTTAATTATAAGAGAGACAAATCAGTTTTTAAAAAACTTAACGAATCTTATCATGACAATCTGATTTTACATTTTACAACAATCGTTAACATATATTTGCAACTCACACTACTCTGATATTTCAATAATTTAATCTTATTAATTTAATTATTTTATTTATAATATTTATAATTAAAAATACACACGTAAAACGATTATTTTTAAATGCCGTTCTTCTCTTTTCACGTTTTTCTATATATTCATATTTTCGTTATACAATACTTTTAATATACTCATTCTCAATATACTAATAGTTTCCTTTATATTCTTACATTTTTAAAATCAATATTTTGGATTACATTACTTTTTATCAATTTATTTAAAACTACTTTTGGAATTTATATCACTTCGAATTTCCAATCAATGATTATTATTGTCAGTGTCAACGGGACTATAAAAGCAGTATTGCAAAAAACCTTCGTAGATTAAACGACTTTATCTTGTTCGCACCGGCTGATTATTTTTAATCTCGGCCACTTGGTCGAGCCAAGTCTTAATTAGATTGATAAAAGAGGCTCGAGAAAATTTTCGAGGGTAATGAAGAGGGACAATCGAAGGGAACGTCTTCTGCGGAGACGAGGGGGCCGCATACGGTCCGATGTGGCATGTGGGCGCGTATATACAAGGGGGCGAGAAACGAAAGGGACTCGGAGGGGGTGAGTAGAAGGAAGGGTCGACTCGCAGGGTCGTCGTGACGCGGTACAGTGTGGGTTGTGGGACTTTAATTTAATAAAGCAATTTGTAACGGAATACGGAACGAGGCAATAATGGCCGGTCGGCGGGGAGGGTTCTAATGAGCTGCTTACCGCACTCCGGTGCCTTCGACGACGACCGGGAGTGGTGTACGTTCTCCGCCGTTGGATATCCCTCCATTCGTCCTACTAAGCCGCCGCGCATATCTCCGCGACCGCCTCCACAAAACCCGATAAGTCCGCGTTTTTATCAAAATTTGTATGCGCCGCATACGGCACGCCATGAGATTTCTTTCGCGGTATAATTTCAGACTTGCTTCGTGAGATAAAGCGTTATCAGTGTTATCGGCGATAGCGTACTTTGTAATTACAAGAAATTTACGAAAGATAGTCGAACACTCGACTGAGCAATTAAATTCGAATTTTAATTATTGTGAGAAATTTACTCAATTTACGAAGCATTAAAATAAAATATTCTCATCGACATTGAACTTAAAATTGATGAATACAAGCTCGTGATATATATTGTATTATACGATTGTAATATTTGAACTTATTATGTTACAGTAGGAATTTATAACAAAGGATGATACACGATTCATCGTAATATATTTTACTTATAAAACATATGTAAAATATGTTAAACAATATGTAACGAAGAAATATTGCGTTTCCATAAGCTTTTTAATTAAAGTAGTTTCTTGATTTTTTTAAACAAGCCGGATGTCCGATTGTGTCCGGTCGTTTCGACGATTTATTGCCCGACTTTTTCCACAAAATATTTTTTTCGCTTGGGAATTCAGACCTGTGATATAAAGTTTTAACCCATCTATCGACCACACCGTCCAATTCCAATTGAATCCGACCACCGAGTTTTTTCCCGTAAAGAACTAGTTAATACAATAAATGAAATGAACTATCGTATCCGAGCCATTGAAATTCCTGTGTTCAGATCACGATTTTGTTTTATGCAAACAAAAGCCTCAAAAAATAGGATTGGTACAAAACTATAGAAATCAAGAAAATTAAAAACAGCGTTAGAGAAATCAGGAAAAAATCAAGAAATTTTGCAAAATTTTCTGAAAAATAAAAATTCTTGGTTTTAAGAAAGTTTAATATATTATATATACATATATCACACTTACACAGTTTTAGAATATTATAATTTAACAATTAAAAATCCAACCAGTGTCAGTAACATTAATAGTAATTTACATATATATTAAATTGATTTCTTAATAAAATATTTAATGGTTTTCAAATAAGGACAAAAAATTTTTTAATATTAACTCTGAATCAGTGGATAATCACTAATATCAGTTCCAAGTATGTCACTGGTAATCAGTAAATTCACAACAAAATTTAATTAAAAAATCAATGAAACATGGGATTCGTAACTTAATCAGCTTTATTTTACTGTATGAATTCCATGTGTATGGAACTGCGTGCGAATATCCATATATAATATAATATAGTATATATTTCACTGATTACTTAGTCAAATATGTCACTGGTAGTCAGTAATTATCCACTGATTCGGATTTAGAGAATATTGAAGTCAAAGAAAGTTATGAAATTTTGTTTGAAAATCAGGTAAAAGTTATGAAATTTTAAGATGTAAGGAATTTGTGATAATTGTGAAAGAGACATCCACTTGTCGAGTCGTTTAGGCATTACGTCTATCAAAGGACTATTTGTCTTCGGCACGTGGTCATATCTGTCGAAGGTATCATCCTCCGTTATGCAAACGGATTCTGGATTAATCTTTGTAGCATGTCGCGATGAGAGCGGCGAGGAGAGGGACGGAAAGGACCATAATTTAATCAGCCGATTTAGAGTGAACAAGTGACACGCATGTCGCGGGTGGTGTATGCGAGCGAAATCGCTCCGGATAATGCGTATATATCGATACCGCCTCCACACACTCCAATCACCCATGCATGTGCGCACGCGGCATCGCCCGCGCCGCCGTGGATAACGCTGCGATGTCCGATTAGACGAAGTATCGGCACGACAAATTGATGCGTCCGCCCGCACCGTGTCGATGTAAATCAGCGGCAGGTGACCGTATCGGCGTGAGCGCGCGCGACGCGGCGTTTCAAAAAAGAGGAGCGATCAAAAACGAGACACCGTCCGGCCATTCGTAATATTCGTTATCGGCGAACGGAAGTCCGGGTGCGAGGCCGGCGCGCTCGATTGCTCGATTTATACGGGGTGAGCGACCCCCCGCGCGCGCACGCGGTGTCACGGGCCGTTTTATCCACCCGAGAGTTCGGGGCGAAACAAATCATTCGTGGTAAAGATGCGTCGCGATTCGGACACGGAGAGGGGGAGAGAGGGAGGGAGATCGATAGGATAGTTTCTATTATTTTTTTAACAATGTCGGAATTTATTCTTGTTTCTGTAATTCTGGCTGCTGTTTCCACTTATACGTAAGTATTCTGTAACGTTGAAAGAGAAATTTTATAAAATTATTATAATTTTAAGTTACGAAAAATCCTTTTAATTTAATACCATTGATATTAAAGAATTGATTAGTTAGCCAAGAAATGGATGGCAGAGCACCTATGTAACAAATAATATCTCTTTTTATTCGAATTATGTAAAATTTTAAATTATAAATATAATACATATAAATATATTTCTGTATTAAGTACAGTATTGAAAGAAATAAAACGAAATAAAACGTTTCAACGTCACTAGTTCTCTATCAATAATAATTATATTCAAGTGGATACAACGTAATGCTTTTGTCAGAATAAAAAGTCAGGGATGACGTAGGGTGATGGTCCGTCACTTCGACGTAATTGAATCGGATATCACTCGACTTCTAGAAAGCATGATCGGGCACTCTTGAAAGGGCTGCTCGCTCCATCGACGATGTGAGTAATAACGGCGCGCATCGAGTCGACTGGCGTCCGAGAAGAATGCTTTATCGAGTGTACAAAGTGTGTTGTCACCAAAAGTAAATGGATGCTTAGTTAATTCGAACTAACGAGACCGCCCC